AAAAACTACAATAGCTACATTTGCAGTTGAACCTGCCATATTAATCAAGGATGATGACCCAATTAAAGCGTCAAGAAAACTATAAGAGCATCTGGTGTTGATCGAATAACGGGCAGACAAATGGAAAATAAAAATTAACGAAAACAAGTCAGCTCATATTACTTTCACTTTAAGAAGACAAAAATATTCCATCGTAAATATTAATAATAAACCACTTTTTTGGGGTCGAAAGTGTGAAGTATTTAGGAATACATCTGGACTAAAGCTTACCTGGAAATCCTACATATTAACCAAGAAGAAGCAACTTCAACTATAAGAGATCTATATTGGCTACTAGTACACCATTCGAAGCTATTCATAGATTTATTAATTAGTAATTAGTAATTATTGATTTACAAAACAATTATAATTCCTATTTGGACCTACGAAGTCGAAATCTGGGGCAGGGCAAGCAGGTCAAATCCCTCCATTTCACAGTGATTTCAATCTAAAACGCTTAGGATGATTGCTGCAGTACCATTTGAAACTCAACGCAGAGACTTAAAAGTACCGATAGTCTGAAAGAATTGAAACAAGCAGCTCAAGCTATCTTCAACCCACCCAAATCCTCTGGCCGTCATCCTCCTGGACAATAGTAAAGAAACCTGCCGATTACCCAGAACTACACCCTTACTACACCATTACAGATTTTCAAATTAGCCTCGATATATTCACATACGAGTATATTCTTCATCGTTGATTCCTGGCGAAAAGTACTAAATTAACTCTTTCTGTTCTACATGCAAGAAGACGCTGAATGTACCACTGAGATACTTTACCTCCATATTGCCATTGTCATTGTTAACATATTTACTAATTATCTTAATGTAAAATATATTGTAAATTTTCCTTGTTCAGAATAAAAAACATTGCCATACTTATGATAAAATAAATCTGTGAATTAATCAAACACGTGCTGATTGAGGTACCCATGGAATGTTGAGTAAAGCCATTTGTAATCATTACAATGATTAAAAGTACGAAGAAGAGACCTCTTCGCTTTTTGAGAGCGCTTTTTCCGACTTGATAGTGAGACCACCGTTTAACGATTGTGAACACAAATTGGAAATACGATAGTAAAATAAATCTTACGCAAACTCTTAAATATATTATAGTTAATGATGAACAAAATTTATAAAACACGTTATACTAATTACTACATTTTATCACTTTTATTTTTTATAGGATGAATAGTGCAAGGCAAGCATTTATCAGAGAATGTTGAATCGAGGGAAAAAACGATTGTGGCGATTGTGACATGTCGCCATTGGATTACTATCGGTGGACAATAAATGAGAGTTCGGCAGCAATTAACGGGCCTCTCGAATGGGCCGTTGGGACGTCACCCTGAGCCAGCTAGGTGGCCCAGGAATTACAGCAGTTTTACACAATCGATTTCAGGAAACACACGCTCCGATTTCTATTAAGCTGGCGAACTCTTTTTGCCTTATTTTTCTCTTTATCCTGGATACTCTTCTGCATCCTTTCACACTCGCGGAACACTGGTTTCATAACGTGTACGTTTGAAACCGAGATCTAGGTCATCGCTTGAAAGCGGCGCATGTCTAATTTTACCGCTGCCTGTAAAGGCCGCAAGAAAGGTGAATTAGATAAATGTAAAAGTTAAACAGCACAAAATACGAAAACCGTGAGTTACAAGCTGTTCAGGTAAATTGAAAGTATACGTTTTACGGCTTAAGTTAAAATATAATTCCCGAAGTAGCCGGTTTATGTTCACGTTAACCAAAATGGATAAGTTAAGTCCAAAGCAGGAACAGCATGGAATCGTAATTTGCATTACGATGAACATGGCATTAGCTAACATTAGCATCTCAACACCTCAAACTTTCCTGAAACAAACTGTTTCCAAAATATTAGTAGTGCCCATCTGAGGTGGTACACCTGCATACAAAGTATTTGGCAAAGTCTAAATTTGTGGCAAATACTAAATTTAAAGTATTTTGCCCAACCCTGAAATTAATAAATCAAATACACACTTACTAAAAAATATATAATTTTAGTGCCTAAAAATTCGTCTAGAATGCACTTGTTTTATCATTTACACTCTTGTTCATTAATAGTAGCTTCCATTAGCTAAATTACGGTCTCTTCGGTTACCGAACTCATGTCGCTTCTCACGAACCACCAAAACTACCAGCAAAGAGTCGATCCGCCGGCACTGCCGACACTGGCGAGAACAGCCGAAACTCGAGCGGTTCCGACAGTCCGATCCTTGAGGGAGGCCAACGCGTAGATTAAAGGCAGTTAAGGCGCGCGCACGACCTTCCAGGCGCCGGTACCACGAAAGCAAAGCCAGCGAGACTGATCGATAATAGAACGTGTTTTGCCAGGCTCTACCAGAAAGTGTTATTTCTTTCCACTATTTCCAATGGCGTCACTGCTGATGTTATTTAGCATTTCCGAGACCTGAAGCACAGGTATTGCCTCGAGAAGGTCTTGGCGTTCCCGGAAAGACTCCCTTCGCTTCCTGGAGTCGCGCGACACGAACAAAAACAGCTACTCGCTTCGTTTCTTAAAAATATCAATCAGCGACCTCATTTTTCGTACAATAATAATTCAGATATTTGCTAGTAGTAACTAAACAGTGAAACTGTAGCTGAATAAAAGCACATAAAATTGTTTTAAAATATCACGCAAACTGATCAAGAATAACACAATTCTCCTGAATTATTCAGTAATAAAGTGCATATTTTAATAAAAACACTCTTCACAAGTACTGTAATAACATAATACAACAATTTCTGTAATACCGATCTTTACATGCCTAGAATAACAAAAATGTTGCTGCTCCATAATGAACACGTGAATAGCAAATATTTAATGTTGGTGGGTCCCTTCTTTGGAGCTTTCCTGCAAAAGGTCGAGCTTGGAACTTGCATAATAAGTACCTTCGAATTGTGAAATCAGTTTGTTTTTATGTTTTTTATTACCATGCAAACAACTCGCAGGAATCTTTACAAAACCTCGAAAGTAAGTTTTCGTTTGTGGTGGCTGCGCGCCTGGAGTGTCCATTTTACTCCTCCAGTCCAGAGGCTACTTTGAACAATTTTTCAGGTTCATTAAAACACGTTTTCTCCCAAATGGCTACATTTTTTTTCAATTTGTAAAGGGAAGAAACAATGAATAAAATCGTAAGATATAAACGCAATTTTTTTTATTATCTAATTTATTGATAACTCGGGCGTTAATATTCAGTTTTGAAATTATTTTATCATTAATACAGTATTGGGAAAATTTTCTTTAATGAAACGTTTCTCAAAATTTGAAATTTTATCCTAATTTTAGCCATCATAAGTAATTTCTAATAAATACAAAGAGTATAATCTATTGTACCTACACTAGTTAATCTCGTCTTACATCGAGAGTCATATATTAGATAGATGTGATGGTCATATTATGAGGATGTGATTCCTCACTTTTTTCTAAACATGCAAGAACGAGGTGAAGAAAGAATAGGGTCAAGACGATGTGTGTGTGTGCGAGTGATTGATTAATTGATATTGATTCTGGGTGAGACAACTGCTAAAATCATTAGTATCTTAAGTGTAGTACATGTTTTTTCTCCGGGAGGTGGCAATAATATTTGCCCGCTGGATGACGAGATCCAGCGCCGACCTACCGACTAGCGGGTTTCCCCAAGCAGGTATCTCCCAGAAGCCAGAGCATCGCCGCAAGCGGGACAAGCTCTAAGCACACGGCCGGCCTCGCAACATGTGTGGTAGCGTGATGTATGTTAGAGTAAGTGTGTGGAAGTAAGGGGTGCGGAAAAGACACGGAAGAGGAAGGAAAGATGGAGCGCCGCGAAAGATCGGTCCGTGGCTCGTTTGTTAGAGTAGTGCACCGTCATTCGCCTGGCGCGTGTGCGCGTGTTGCTCAAGATACAAGAGACACGAAGGGGGATGGAGAGCTTGAAAAGACGCAGAACGACGCACGTCTATGGGAGCGAAGGCTTTTGGGGCGAGCACGTGAGTGAGGGCGTGCCGCGCCGCCTGGCGGGAGGAAAGGCGCGGGAGGCCGAGTGAACGAACTTGTGTCCCGGAGGGTCGATGCGCTTGGGCCCCGGCGCGGCGCGGCGCGGCGCGTCGCGGCGGATGTGGGTCGCTCGCCTCCGCACGCACGCTTCCTCGCAGCGCCGCCTCCCCGGCGCGGACAAAGGGCAGAGCTCCGGGGCCTGCCGTTGCCCCGCGACCGCCTCCGCCTCCGCCCCCGCCCCCGACCGTCTGATCAATGGCGGCAGCGCGAGATATCGACACCGCCCCCACCCGCGACGCCGAGGAAGTGCGCGGCGTGGCGCGGCTGGCGGCGAGCGGCGGACCAGCGGATCGCACGCTGAGAGGGAAAGAGAGGGGGCGAGCGCGCGTGGAGGAACGCGGAGAGAAACAGCGGGCGGGCGCGTTTGGCGCGCGGCGCGGTCCTTTGCCGGCGGGACCGAGGGCGGGGGGCACAGGCGCGCTTTGCAGTCAATAAGTCGCAGGGTGGGCGCTTGCGAAACAAACATTGGGCGCGGGCGCTGGCGGCGGAGGCAGCGAGAGCCGGCGCGAGACGGTTCCGGGAGCGCATGAATAAAGATCCAGCCGCCGCCAGCTGCGCCGCTATTGCGAGAGGTACAGCAGCAGCAGCAGCAGCTGGGAGACGAGGCCCACGCGAGAAATAGAAGCCGCGTTCAGGGAGATCGGGAAACGGGTGCCAACATAACACAACAGGCGGCGTCAGGTGTTGAGTGTGAGGTGTCGGGGTGATGTACGTGGGGGGGGGGGCTTTGCGAAGGAGAGCGGGACACCGGGGCCGCGAGGGCCACAGGATGAGAAAGCGGTTCGCGGTCCTGCGTACAAAGGCGCCTCCGGGGAGGAGCTACGGCGGCGCGCGCAGGGCGTCAGACAGGCGGGGACACGGCTCGCGGACAAGACGCTGGAGGTAACGGGGCAGATGCGTATCTGCGAATGGGAGATGATGAAAACAGAATCGATACCTGCTCGTTCGCTCATAACACAGAGAGAGTGCGTGGAGTAGCGGGAAGCAGGCATGCGGGGAACGGGATTACGGAGGGGGAGACGCGTCTTAGGCGGCGCGAGAGGCAGCGGGGCGGGGAGCAGCGGGCTTCTGCCATTCGAGTGCTGGTCTACCTTCCTGGAATTAGTTGCACTCCCGCGCACACTTGCGCTTCCTGTTCCCCCGCGCCGCCCCCGCCCTGCAAATGGAGCCACGCGAAGGCCACACGTCTGACTGCGTTGGTGGAGCGATAATTAGAACTAAATTTATACAACATGACTGGCGTATTTAAAATATTTTAACTTCTGAAAGCTGGAAAGGGTATTGGGATTTATAAAGTAGTTCCCAATAACAGCCATCAAATTTGAGTTTAACTTTACATTGGTATTGAAACTAAATAAATTAGTGAAATTAATTAAGAAATATCTGCATTTTGTATTCCAAATTAGAGGTCTATAAACATTTATCAAATATTTATTCAGAACTGAAGGCTTGAAATAAAAAAAGGATATAGATTAATTTTCTTACTTTTGAGAAAAATTAGCTCATACGCTAAACATATTGTCACATACAACTCCTGCGATTTATAATCACCTCGTACCACTACCAAAGGTGCCTGGACTTTGGTTCTTATTTACTTTTGAACTTATTTACGCAGAAGTCTCCTACGTTAATAGATTATTACTTTAATAGAAACGCTGTTTTAGTAGATTTATTTTTACCGCATTTGTGATACTTATATTTACTGCTATTTCTGACATATTTATATTTAGCGCTATTGGAATACGTATATCTACACGTTTTATAACTGATGAGATCTGATATAAATTACAATAATTTTTAGTACTAATAATCACATAAGATGATATCTGTTTGAATGTCCATGTTAAAACTTCAAACACAATATACCAACATAATATGCATTAACAAAGGTGTTCAAACTGATATAAATGCTGATGACCTTCAGAAAGTACTTGCAGAACAGACAACGTACACTCCAATGCCAAAACCGTTTGTGGTTATGATGTTTCAGGCAAATGAATAACTGCCCTTAGTACTGACTCTTCAAAACAAAAATTTTAGATTTTGTAAAATCTAATATGGTGGTTCACTTCAACAGTTTTCCAGAAATAAAGCCAATGAGCTTGCAGAACCTTTCTGAGGAGATCATCTCAGTTACTTGCGCAACATTCATTTATAAACTTTTAATAAAAAATTACTTCTACCTTTTGAAATTATATACATTTATTACACATCAAATAATAAGTATGTTTGTAAAAGCTTTCCATTGCTTGACGTTTGAGTTTCTACATTTCTGAACAATAAAAAATTTCGCTGAACAGACAGACATTAATCAGAGACTAGCAAAATAAAGAGAAAATATTTGATGATAACTGGAGATCTAGAAGCTGAAGGAAAACCTAACTCCTTATTAAATTAAAGGAAATATTACCTTTCTCGTCATTTCTTGTTAACTTTCTCTAGAAGAATAAAATTGCTATAAGATCCACGAGTGCTTTGGAAATTCTGGGGATAAATCCACGATCCGCGAAGCAAAGGGGACATTTATCTGAGATTTCCAAAGCAATAGTGCGATTTACAAAGACCACCTACAAATAAAACCTCATAAATATGATGTACTAATTTTAATATAACTTAGTAATAAATAATTAACATATATTCAGATATGACTTCAAACATAAATGTAAACATAAGCAAAAGACAAAAAAAATTAACATAATACAAATTAAATAATGTAAACAAAAAGGTGCAAATATTATTCTCTCTAAGATGCGATAAGCTATACCTGATAATTTAACATGGGTTTACACTCTGTTTGGATTGCGTAGATCTACTCGAGTGTTAGTGTTGTGTCAGTGCCAGTGTTATCCTGTGCGGGCGTCGTGCTCCAGTGAATTCAGAACTTAGATTAGTAATTGCTTATCTAGTGCAACGACTTATTTGACAAAATGGTGTGAATAGTGCCCCTCCGGGGGCTACTTGAACCTCAGGGTTAATTGTTCAGTCAATGGAAAGTGATTAATGAAAGTCCAACGGCGGTGGCAGTAATCGAACACCAGAGACGTATTCTTCACTTCCACAGGAGAAAATAAAAACAACTAACATATGAGAATCGCAACAATATATTTACTTCTTCAACAACATGTATTCCATTACCAACAATTGGCTAACCAAATTCTTACTCCCAAAACCCCACTTCCTCCGAACTCCGAAATCTACCAGCCTCTGCTCTCAATCACACGACCGAAGGCAAGAGCCGGAAATACTTAACTTCCACATCAACAACAATCAAACAGTTATGGAGGTGCAGCAACAACATTTCTCACCGTAAAGAAAGAAGTGAAATGGTTGGAAAACCATTAAGCGTAATCACTATGAAAAAAACCTCAAAAAAAAGAAATGCTCAAGTGAAAGTGAAGTTACTGAATATGGCGTCGAGGTGTCGTCGGCGCTTCGATCCGTTAGCGGACCTCCAAGACTACGGGGAAGAAAATGAAACAGTACAAACATAAAAATCCCTCAATTTTTATCCATGAACAAAATTATTCACCAATGATAGATAGCATCCAAAAAAAACAACATTCTAGCAGACTTCAACAACCAAACCAGAAAGGCTCAGTAAAGGTGATGTTCAACTATTGAAGATTTCAGGAAATACCGTAAGTTTTGTGAAAACAAAAATATTCAATTTCACTCATTAAAGACCCGTCAAAAAATAATTTTCACGTAGTGATAAATGACCTGCCCACAAATTATTCTGAAAACGAAATTCTTAAAGAACTAAAAGAATTAAACTATCCAATCCTGAAAGTATGTAGACTTTATAATAAAGATAGAACCCAATCCCGGTTTGTGCAATAGATTTGGAGGACAATTCAAGGCAGAAGAATATTCAACCTAGTTAGATTATTTTACAGTGTAGTAGTAAAGTTCAAAAACGTATTGCTTCAAATGTAATTCAATGTAAACCGATGTTCAAAGGTTTGGGCATTCACAGGCTAATTGTGGGCTAAATCCCAGATTGTGTGAAATGCACCGGAAATCACCATTATTCAGAAGTGTAGAAAATCTAAAACACAGCTTCAGAATGCGTAAACTGCAATCAAAATCATACTTCTAATTATAAAGGTTGCCCAGAATACAAAAAGGCTTTAGAATTATCTCAAAAATTTAAAATTATCTCTAAAACTCAAGGAGGGCATACTGCTTCCAGTTCGCAAAGAACAGATAACGAAGCCACTCGCCCCAAGAAACCTCACTCATTTTCCTTCACTCCCGAAACAACCTCTAGCAGCCCGCGATTACAATTTTAACCTCAAGACTTATCAAACCTAATCTCTAATATTACAACTCAAGTACTAATGCTATTATCCCCCAAATTCAAACTATAATTCATAACGTCTTAGAAAAACTAAAACCATGGGAAGTAACTGCGAGAATTTAAAACTTATTAACTGAATACAAATGGCAATTAAGCGTCAGGAAAATGAATTCATATATTATCATAAGAGTAATCAAATTAAATAGCAGCTATTACGGAAACCACCTCTCGCCGGGATGAAAGAATTTAAATTATTCCCGGCTACAAAATGTATAGAAACGACAGAATATCACAAACGCGTCAGGTGGAGTAGCAATTCTGAATATCAAACTCTATTAAGCACGGACAGGTTCATACAATATCCTCGCCAAACTTAAAACAGTCGGAATAAAAATATTTGGTAATAATACCAAAATAATAAATATAGCTGCATACAAACCACCAAATAAAACTTCCATGTTACGTTTACAAGGAATTTTAACAGATATCCCCGACTAATATTGATGGGAGACCTAAATAGTAAACATACAGCTTGGGGTTGTCGAACCAGACAGCCCAGGGACAAAGGCTTTTTAATTTGGCTCTAAATAATAAATCAGTATACTAGCTCCACAGCGGCGAACACTTTTTCCATACAAACTCAAATATAGTTCCAGATTTTTAGATATACTTCTAACAAAAAGCATAGATTTCCCCATATTCCACAAACGGTATTAGAACGACCTTCAGTCAGACTCACAAACCCAGTACTAATAACATTTTTCACAACGCAGAGAAGAAACAAAATCATAAAACGACTGTTTTACAGCAATTGTAAGCTGCCCAAATTCTTATACCTACATGCAAGAAAACTATTTATACCAGAAATATTAAATCTATTTCAGATCTTAGAAATCGAAATCGAAACTTTAAACAGGCAATTAAGAATCATTAAACAAGCTTCGAACTGTAAATGCAGAAAGCGTGCTTGTCATATAAATCCATCTCCAATACGATTATTAAATTATTAAACAAGCGAAATATAAGAAGATACTGGAAGTAACACGTAGACAACGATATTCAGATCTAACTAAAATAAATTATCCACGAATAGTAAAATTTAGCAGCAGACAATTCAGGTATCGCAAATTTCAGCAATCATTAGTAAGCAAATACGACGCAAATTCAGCTCATCTATGGTCACAGTTAGACTATCACTGAGAAAAAAACTGGAAATACCCCTCTAAAAAACCTATAATTCAAAAGCCTATTCAGATGAAGAAGAAAACCGAGAATTTTAGCTGACCACTTAGAGAAAGTCTCCGACCGTCAAATCCAATAACAATGCAGAACTCACAATAAAACATCGAGGATTTTGTAAATGAAGCCCCAGGTGTTTCATAACAACGAAATTAGTTTATCTCTCATCAGACAGTCTCAAAAAGTTATCAGCCGTTAAAAACAGAAAATCCCCAGGGATTGTATGAAATAAAATGAACATAAATGATAAAGGAACTAACAAAAACACTATTTGCCGGCTCTCACGAAATATTTAATGCAATTTACGGCTAAAGTCACTTCCCAAACTGCAGGAAAACGCCCGCCATCCTATCCTTTTCTCGCAAACCGGAAAAAGATCTAGATGAGAGAAAAACTATAGACCATCAGCTTGCCCCCACATTATCAAAATTTTTGAAAGATTGATTATCAGTAGACTAAATAATACTCACTGAAATAAAGGCAATTCCGATGAACAATTCGGCTTTAGAACCTAAATTCATGTACGCAACCAATTGTGGAGACTAACGGAAAATATTGCAGAGCCTTCATCAAAGAAGAACATACTGTACAGTTTTTCTTACGACATTGCTCAGCGCGTATGACAGGATCCTGGCATACCAGGGCTATGTATAAATTACGAATTTGGAGTCCCTGATTACATCCAAAAAATATTCCATAGCTTTCTGTAACAGAAATTTCATAGGTAAAGTCAATGAAACATTATCAACCCCTCGAAACATAATCTTGCAGGTTTACCTCAAGGCCTCTGGTACTCTCCCGACTAATTCATGCTAATGTTACACTTCAGATTTCCACGAATGGCAACACCCAAATTAGCTCTTTGTCGCTGATCGACACAGCATTATTCACTGCTCATGAAGATATTTTCATAGCCGCAGAAAATTCGATACAGAATAATCTGGATAAGAACTAATACTCGTGGACAATAGTGGAGAATAACTAAATCAATCCGAGAAAATGCCAAGCGAAAATATTCCACTTCGTAGACCAAGAACTGTCCTCCTATCTAAAGAATCAATTGCAGCCCGATTCAATGGAATATAGGCCCCAATTAAAATATCTTGGTTACACTTCGATAAAAGATTAAACAGGGAACGCATATCCTTGCATTAGTAAATAAGCTTATGGGAAGAATTTCAGAACTATATCCAATAATAAATAGAAAGACCTCATTAAAAATCGATGCCCAGCTCATGATATTTAATCAATCATTTAACCCACCCTAACCTACGCTTGCCCTGGTCCTGGGGAAATGGCAGCACCTCATCAATAGAGAACTTTCAGACGGTACAACAACAGATGCCTTTAGGAATCATACAGCACCTGTTTATACCCAATGCCCAGATACATGGGGGCTACTATGGATCTAATCAAAGATCACATCATCTACAATTTTTGGAAAAGCTTTTTAACTTCACTCAAACATTTCTCACTTAACAAATCCTTTAAACCTAGACGAAATGCTGTGCACCCTGTCCGCACATCAAATCAATTCCAAAAGATTAAATTTTCGCCCCCCGTATGCACATGATATAACCAATTCAAACATCCAACCTAAATTAAAGCATTGTAAATTTAAATAAACAATAAATCATCCCAATCACACCTTTAAAAAAAAACGGAGCAGTGCATGTCAAGCTCAAAATGCCAAGGCTACCTTATTCCTAACAATGAAAAATTCTATTGTATTCCAACCCTTGAAGGGCCACCATAGGCCGAACAAGAAAGAAATAAATGAAAAAAAAACACTGTGGTTCGTATAGTCTCAATTTCAGCACGCAATTGGCTGAAATTTTATGAGTGGAATAGTCATTTAAAACCAACTCAATTCTCTGAATTAAAAGGGTATATCGTGTTGCTAAACCTTTATATATGGATTCAGATTTCATTTTTGTGGGCTCGTCATATACAATTGAATTTGAGGCCGTCCATTGATTTATTTTGTAATTGGCATTTTGTTATTTTCAGTATATTTTAATCTATTGGCGGAAGTGAATTTTTCCATACGACTTTATTAGTCCTCCAATCTCACAAATCGATTTTGTTAGCCTCACCAACATATTCTCGATATTTTTATGCATTTATAGAACGAATGGCTACGTTTCTGGAAACGATGTTTTCTTCTTACAGGAACGTTGTATTTTCCAAATTTTATTTCTGAAACACTCTTAATTCTGTGAACATTATACGCGACTATTTTCAAAATAAAATCGGATATTAAGACAACAAAAAATTGATGTAACGTAAATTATTGAAAGTGTTAAAGCATGTGTACAGTAATAAATCGTTTAAACGCATTAGAAAGGATATAGTACCCAAACGTCCAATCATCGTCAAAGATACAAATATCCTTTCCAACACTGATTCTTTTTCTCTTCCCGAATGATATTGTAGGGTTCGTTGTCCGTGTAGTGACGTGCTATTTCACCTTCTTTGGGTTCCTATTTCGTCTCCTTATTGATAAACTAGGCGCTTTCCCCCTTAAGGACATCTTTCCTATATATTAGCACGCCAAGTGGCGATTTCCTGGAGTTTTTGGATATATTTTGCAAGGGTATATGTTTCTCATTTGAACAGGTGATTTTCAAGTCCACTATCTTCAGATTTTCCAGACAGAGATAATCTCTGTATGACAGTGCCTAATGAGCTAACATTAGATTTGTGAATTCACGATATCAGCTTATCCAGCAATTTCTAAATGGTTTATATGAATTATAAGTAGTGAGACGCATATAGAATGGCATTGCTGATCTACGTGCAATCATTTTTAGCGTATTTTGTACACATTAATATGTATTTTATTTATTGAAACTTCGGAGCTAATGAAGGTGAGCAAAATTCTACTCTGCCGGTCTATAGTCATATAGATAAAGCTACCCGCATTGTACATAGTTCCCGTGAAGCTGGACTGTTTTGCGCCGCGTTGCAGGTACGGAGCAGGGCCCGCACGAGAAGCGGCTGCTCAACGCGCTGCTGGGCCCGTACAACACGCTGGAGCGCCCCGTCGCCAACGAGTCGGAGCCGCTCGAGGTCAAGTTCGGGCTCACGCTGCAGCAGATCATCGACGTGGTGAGTGCACCGCGGGCCGCCCGCACCCACGCGCCCCACACGCGCCCCACTTGCGCCCCTCGGCACTCGTACTGCCACAGCCAGTCAGGTCTGCGTTCCGCGAAAATGATTGCTTGTGCGTTCCAAGTATTTACTAGCGTCTCGTTATTTCTGGCTTGGGGTATAATGTCTTCAATATTCGCGTGTATTACTTGGCGTGTCTAATATGTAATTGAATAACGCTAGATAAAAAAATATACGATAAAACCTGTAATGCGTTTCAAAAAGGTGGAAAAATTATTGATGAATTCATTGTCATAATGCCAGTATTTTAAATACTACAATAAGAGAATACTCATATATTTTAATTTTTTCTACGAAAAGGGTTTAGCCCCTTCAAATAATACTCGGCCTACGAAAAAATCATGGAGATTTCTCACCGCTTCTTTTGACATGCTAAATTCGCACCTAAGGTTTGACTGCGCGGGGAACGACAGTAGGTGTCCGCGGCCCAAGTCAGTGCTCGGCTGCTCGGCGGACAGGGAGGCGCCGCGTCCCAGGAGCCGATGCCAGCGCCTCCGCCGCCAGTCTGCGCTCTTCCTGGCCTTCGCTCTGAGGAAGGTCGCAATGTTAAATTACAATTCCCGGGCACTTCGAGTTATCCATCCACTCACTCGACAGACGTTTGTATTTGGCACCCGAATGCTCTCAGTGGGGACGGTAAATATGCTTCCGTTCGTTGGAGGATATAATTTTTCCGGGTTGATTTAAATGTTGAAAGTATAGAATTAGAGTCACCTGTTGAGGATTTCGCAGAAGCAGTCGAAGCTGGCATGTAATTATAGTAAGCAACAATACCTCCTGGCATACAGCTACCGTAGGAGCTGTTTTGCGTAGAAATTGGATGTAACACGTTTAAGTAATTATCATTATCACTAGAGCCAGGAAAAGCCATGCTGTATTATATGTAATAGAATTTACGTTGCAACGTAGCTCAAGCTTACACACACTAAGGGTTGGTTTCGTCGTGGATATCTCATGGTCACGTCATTAGATGGTTTATTCTGACAAATTGACCGTGGAAGAAAAATAGTAAATTGCACTTTAAAAAAACTCGATACTATGTTGGTGATAGTGGACAGTATCAGACCAATCTTTAACATTGCATTGTTGTACAGTAGTGCTCTATTTCTCTTTATTCTAATGTTTACTTTTTGAAATAGTTCTGAATTTATTTGATTAAATATTTTTGTTTTTACCTATTTTTTAAAATTTAGTTATGTTTCGTTAACGTGAGATTTTGTACGTATTGACACGTATTTAAAATATATTATATTGGGTTGTTGTTATGTATATATATATATATATATATATATATATATATATATATATATATATATATATATAATTAACATGCGGTGTAGTAAGTAAGGTCATGCATGTTTTCTTTTCTCTTATTTCCGTGAAATTTTGGTTATGTAAGGTTTAAGTATTTGTATGTATATCCCATGCGAGTTAAATTTTTCAGTTGGATCCATGAGGAGAGAATCATTTAACAATTCCATTCACGTTTTGAAGCAACATGAAACTAAAAACTACTGAAACTGGAGCGCCGCCAGGAAATAATAGGGTTGGAAAGGACTTTTAGCCAAATACCGAATGGTCACTGTTTTTCAGCTCGCACGAACGGTTAAATGTTTTTGTAAAAATGTAAAAGTGAATATGAGTATTTTATAGAATATATTATCTACTTTAATTTTTTCCATAACATTTTTTCAATAAGGAGGATAAATATTTACGTATTAGCGAAAACTGTTAAGAGTTCTATATTTTTAATTTGCATTTTAGTGTATGAAGTCTACAGGTGTCTCTAATTCTATACTTTCAACATTTAAATCAACCCGGAAAAATTATATCCTCCAACGAACGGAAGCATATTTACCGTCCCCACTGAGAGCATTCGGGTGCCAAATACAAACGTCTGTCGAGTGAGTGGATGGATAACTCGAAGTGCCCGGGAATTGTAATTTAACATTGCGACCTTCCTCAAGGTGACAAACCCAAAATTCAAAATCAGCATTTCAAAAATCATGCACAACAGGTGAGAAAAGTAGAATGGGTTTTGAAGTTTTGTCTTGGATCGGGTCCTTTTGAGTACCAGTTGAGTTATCTAGATGGCAATATTGAAATTAATTTGTGGAATGGGCAGAATTTGGTCAGTGACTCGCCGGTTGTATGTCCTTTAACGAAGAAATTGTAATCTAAGTATAAAAGGAGAACATTTTAAAGGTATAGAAATGCGTATTGTTCTTTTTTATACTGGGTGTATGATGTATATTAGATGCATTAGGAAAAAAATGCGTTTCTTCTGGGGATTCAAGGGAAAGTTAACGTCAATATCTATCAAATTACTTAGTTTTTCCCGATATGCAGCACATAAAACATTTCACAAGATATACCTGATCTTAATTCAACATAATGCCGTATCGTTTAAATGCAATGCTCTTAAATAGTATTAATCAACAAAGCTGAGAAATGCTACCAAAGGCTAGTGCATTTCTTGTTAGAATATGGTGCGTTGCCTGTGCAACAAACTATTCAAGATCACAAGTGGTAGTTGAGATTATCTATAGGGCGGAAGAATTGGAGGACCATACACTAATACGTGGTTTAGGTGGATTCGAATAGAGCGGGTGCATTACATCGCGCTTCATTTCTAAGCACTTTTTCAATTGAGTGTGGGCCGCTTTTATCTGATAATACGATTCACTGTAATACATTGCGTTCCAATTTAATCCTTTTTTTAATTTAGCAATCGCTTCTCATGTTGCCATCCCCATCAGCCTGAAGTAGCAATTTTGTAATCAAACATGTTTATAGACTAATCAAAATAACAGACTTCATTTATTATTACACGCGACATTCCGCAGCAAATGAAATGTGATATGTCACGTTTTAATTCAAAATTCAATTATTTTACGAAGGCATCAGATATATAATAAAAGTTTAATTTAAATTGGAAAGTTACTTTTAAGCGTTGTTGTACCATACATTTCGTGAAAGTATTGCTCTCTATTCAGTAATTCTACGCGAAAAGAACACTTTGCGAGTATTGGAGGGCATGCTCCGCCTTGCGAGATCCGGTGATTGCGGATTCAACAGCCCTAATCGTAAAATCTGGCATTCTCCAACGGCAGAGTTGGTTGAAAAACAGCGGAAATTCTATAAGAGCAAAACTTGTCGTACGACTTGGCGAACATCTTCTTGACTAATGGCTCGGTCCAAAAACCATACCGCTGAAGAAACTTCCAATCTTCAAAATGGAGTCGCTGTAGAATGGCGCTCCCTCCACTTCGTCGTGATATCTTACGTCAATTACCCCAGAAGAGGCAATGCACTTTACGGGGCCGCCCCGCACCGCCGCGCGGCGCCGCTTCGAGG